CGCAAGGGAATGTATCAACTCATGCGGAAGTTTAAGAGAAAAAGTGACTAAATTGGTGCACTCTGACAAGCCTTATCATCAGAATATTTTTTAATTATACATTATTTTTTTTTTACTAGAATCATAACAATAATTTTTAATTGATATTGCATTGACATGAAACGATTCTACGGAAATAGTCGGAACGGTTTAAGGGTTTAAAGGACTACAGCTCTCAAGTTGTATTATTATCTTCATATTCGACACTTATGGCGTTTTATAGCAAAGGAAATCAGATTTTATTTTTACATTCTGTATGGAATCTTTTCATACTATTTTGTCCTTTCAGCGTAATTTTAAACTTTGAATCAATTTTACAAAAAAAACTCATTCAGTAAAAACATCTTCAACTAAAGTATCTACTTGAGATATATCTAAAGAAGATAAAAATTTATTTAAGTTAAACTCTAAAATGTTGGAACATTCCATCTATACAGTATGGAGCCTTTTATCTTTTAAAGTAATTTTACCAGTAATTGGAAATAATAGCGGATATGGCAAATATGATAGCAATTAAATTTTTAGTATTAGAAGAATTTATGGTCACAAACTTTATATATAAAACATGAACCTACTGCGGAGTAGAAACTTTTGTTTATAGCCAATGATACAATTGTCGTAGTAGAGAAAATACAGTCAAAATGCATATTTCCTTCTCCAATCAAAATTTCTCTTGAACTATAAAGAGATTATTCTAAAATACATAAAGATAAAGTTACAAATGTGTGTACTGTTTAAAAAACACTTTCTAGAATCTGTTCCTTATCCAATAACATTTTTTTTTGACATTTGAATTTAATTTCGAATAAGTAACAAAATATTCCGAATTTTAGGAAAATCGGTTTAAAAAATATTTACCCTTCAAAAATATAAAATGTAAAAAATTCTGAAATTAGGTGTTTTAATTTTAAATAAAATACCGCTGTGCATTGTTTTATTTCAATGACTTGAAAATAATAACACCAATGACTACTGAATAGAAAACAATTATAATTTATAAATCAGTTTTACAATATTAGTACTCAGACAGAGTAATAGAATTATGAAGAATCGATTGACAATAATAAATAGTTCAGTCTATATATATATATATATATATACAAAAACAGATAAAAAAGATATGTTAGTCTGAAGATCTAAACCAATTATTAGGAATTAATTATTAAAATTAAATTAAAGTATCAACGGATTTTCAATTGCAGACTATCGAATAAAGCCATCTTTTATAAATTAAATAATTTTGTGCTTTGACTAAAGAATTAACGTCAAAACGTAATGAAATCGAATTCTTTCCTAAACGTATAGAAAAGATTACATTTTAATGTAAGATCCATAAACGTATTGATGTTCTAAAAATTTGTATTTCTTATAGATGATTTTGCAAAGGAAACCGAAGGGAATAAATACAGTTGCATTACAAAAGAGTTTCTCCATAAAACCGTTTTCCCTCACAGTCAGTGAAGTCATAAAAAAACCAATTCAAGTAACATTGTCATTGGTGGTTTGCCCATTCTAGTAGAAATTTCTTTGCGTAAACCCTATAGAAATTGGCTTTAAATGTAAGTTTCCTTAACATTGTACCTATCCGTTTTAAAATTGAAAATTTTCGGAAGGTAGGAGTTTTGTGTAAACATGCAATTCTATTTAAGTTAATTATTAACTTGGAAAGTATAAAATCATATATTTCTGTTTTAAATATCCAAATTTTATATTGCTGAATATACTGGCTTACCACAATATTTTGCAAGTTTACACAAAAATCAAAAGTTTATTTTTATTTCATACAATATCGTCAGAAATAAACATGTAAAAATCATTGAACTTTAGACTGATACAAAAATTATTCACGCGGTATATCGACACTCAAATAAACTTTACCTCTGATATTGATATAAATGTTAAAAAATTTAATTAATCTTGTCAAAAATGTTATGGATAAATATATCCCAATTTAAACCAATTAAATATCAATATCAACTACCGACCCAAATAATACAACAAATAAAACTAAACATTTGGATATGTATACACGTGTCAACAATTTATTTTTGTAAATGCATTTTATTAAAAACATAAAATATAATGACACATAACTGTGATATAATAATAGAATTATATAATTACAACAATACTATACTAAATTTTCTTAAATATTATATTAAGTTCTAATTTTTATGTAAAAATAAAAAAATTATTTATACTCTAAACCTAACATTATTTATCCTATGATCCATAATCTGCAAACATTTTATGGATATTCTAATTTACATGAACTGGCAGATATCTTTTAGACGTTTGCAAAATTTTATAAATTTCCCGATGCTCTTACGGGTAAATTTAAAAATGAAAAACTGAAATTCCAACTTAAATACGTAATCCATTTTTTTATAATCGTTAGATGCTTGATAATATTTTATTTTTGGTGATTTTCTATAGGATTTCATTAGTTATGCCAATTAAAGTTTGTATAAAACAACAAAATAAAATTTTTATAAATAGATAATAGTCATAATATATTTTCCAAATTGCTCGAACAAAGTTACACGAAATACTACTAACTAATAAATTTTTCTTCACGTGCAAAAATTTTTTACTTTCCCTTCCGAGTTCCCTCTTCTTTATCGTCCTCTGTCCTACTTGTCGTCTCCATTTACTTGAATTCTTTAATATTATTGTTACATCTCAAATAGAGAAACAACTAACGAAATAATACTTTATTTTATTTATGGCCGCTCGGTGATTCAGTGAATTCCTGTTTCATTTACAGAGCAGAAGGCTCTGAACTAAGGGTACAGGAAAAAAAGAGAATAGTGATTAATTTTATAATTAGGTTACAATTTATTTAGACAAATATTTTTAGTTAAAACAATTCGTTCTTATAAGAGAGAGGGAATCTCGAACCAACCAATCTAGGAAATAGAGTCCAGCATTCAACTGAAATAAAGAATGCAAGGGTTACTACAAATAAACCACAAGTTTAGAAAAGTTAGGAGTGAGAATATAAAACACTTACCTTAAAATTCAGTAGTAGGTGTGTTGAAAGAAAAAGGACCACTGCTGTGTCCTTTTGTTGTCACAGGAAAAGAGCTGGTACCATCGTGAATTTATGACGTCAGGAAGGTTGACAGGCCCAAGTATAACCGCGATCCGGAGTTCTATTAGGCGTTATGGAACTCCCAATACCGAGTCTCTTCCAAAAAAAAGGAAGAATGGATAATTGCCCAATATAATGAGAAGAAAAGATCCTCGTTTAATGTAGAGGGTTTTGGCACTTGATTTTAACTTTCGTATAAGAAAATTATGCACTTGAACTAGAAGACGTCGACTGGTACCAAAAATGAGCTTGATGTTATACGTATGAAAATGATCTCAGAACTGGTCTCTCCGTGAAAATGTAGTCCTTTTATACTGAATTTTCGTAAGAGAATAGATAAAATTTTATTGTCGTATTATATATTTATCACCATAATTTTGGAAGCCAAGTTGAGTCCTTCTCTCTCAGTTGAACGTAAAAAAGGGGGGTGTGAACCATTCTAATACAAGATAGAAAGAGTACACGGGTGTTTGTCGCAAGAAAAACGCAACTGGGTATAGATTTAAGAATTCTTATAATATGAATATTAAAGTTACGGTGACGTGACATTATTACCAAATCTTTTCTGTTTATGATCGATGACCTAATCTATTGTTTCCTGAGAAACTCAGGTAGTTAATACATTGAGGAACAAACGCCTAATTCAAATTTTAAAATTATTCATAGAAAATTATTTTCGTTTGCAAACTGAATGTCTATATTTTCTTATAACAAATTTTCAAACGGAGAAAACTTCATCTATGAGGAAGCAATTTAAAAAAGTAATTCATGCTTATTGAAACAAAAAAAGCACATCCCAGCTTTTCCCTTGCATGGGTACTAACTTCTTGTTTCCAAGAATCCTGACGTTTTCCAATGTACCGTGTGGTCACATTACTTGAAAAATTCCCGCCCGTAGTACCATGCAATGTCGACAACCTCTTTTTCTCTAAATCTGACATGAAGATAAGCGCGTGAGTATTTGTGGTTTTAACAAAACGAAAAATAGTATTGCAGAGAAATAATAAAAATATATGGTGAGGTATTGCGATGAAGCCCCGTGATTAAAGCAGTACGACGCGTACAGGAAATGGACGTGCGCTGCGTAGTAGGGGGTGTTATATACGTTTAGCCAGTGCGCGATGAGGGACAACAAAGGTGAAAATTTTGCATCTGTTGGGAAATGGCAGGCTATGGAATTAGTGCGCGCAGTATGTGGCGCAATTTGATGTTGGTTTGACATCGACCTGACGTCGCATGTTGGTGTTTTGATAAAACGATATAGGCTCCAATAGAAAGGCCGTTACACAGGATCTATGAATCAGCCACTGCAAGCCATTATTCCCGCCTTCGACCAGAGCACACGCTATTTGTTATTTTACCTCTTTGGGTGATGCACTCATTAATCAACCTTCCACTCTTTTGCTCATTCTATTGAAAAAAATTTTTTTTTGTTTATTCTACAGAGTGTGTAAAAATTATTTCTTAATCGAAATATTAATGTTCAAATTTTTTTAAAATCATTAAACTTTAACTAATTTAAGACTTGAATTCAATATAAAGCAACTTAATATTTTAAACCTTTATTTTACGTTAATTTAAAATTTTTTAAATTAAATATTAAAATTTGAATTTTTTATGGTCTCTGAATTTGGGGAAAACAAAATCATTAAGTGGAGCAACAAGAGGGCTGGAAAAATTGAGATTGGATGTTTTAAGGAAGAAAAATAAAAAATGGAAGAGAGAAAGTGAGAAAAATTCCTTATGGTTGTTCTTTAAGGCCCAACCTTCTAAACAGACCTAAATAAAGGGCTTTTTTAAGATGATACAGGCAAAAGTATTATTTCTTTAATTATAATTAAAATTTTTCTCTTTTTTTTTGTTACAGTGCGAGAAGTTACATTATCTGAACTTAGGGACTCTGTGGTGAGGTTACAGGACAGAGTTAAGCTAGTGTGCAGAACGAGGGGATCACCTCCTCCAAAAGTGCATTGGCTTAAAGATGGAATACTTCTTCATCCACGAAGAGGACTTCGAGTTCAACACAAACGGTAAGTAAATTCTTAGTATATTTTAATGATGATAAAGCCATAACAATAATATTATACGAACATGAAAATCAATAATACAGATTGAGTTTCACTGATGATTCAGTTTCATTTACAGTTTTTAAATGAACGATCATTGTGATAAGAATAATCAATATGTAAATTAGCATTGTAATATTTGCAATTCTCTTCAGTAGTTAGCATATTATTAGCATTTCGATATTTCTTTTTTACTCCTGTTCGTTTGCTTTAGGTACTTAGATGTTGTCTTGATCAGATTTACTTCCTTAACTTTTTTTATGTGTCCAAAGAAATGGATTTACCTTTTCTTTTAATTCTCTGGGTCAATTTGAATTTAAAGCATAAAACTTTCTCCACATTATTTATGAAATATATAATTGCATAAATAAATTTATAAATCAATAATTATTAATCAAAGTAATCCTCGAAATTGAAACTGTCATAAAAAAAGATTTTTTATTATTTAAAAAACTGAAAAATAATCTCTCATTTATAGCAAACGATAAAGTTTTGAAAATCCTCAATATCAGAAAAAAATATTATATATTTTTATTTACATTTACCGTTAAAAATATACGAATTTTTATAAATTTTTTAAAAAGTTTTTCATGAGGGAAAGTATGTCAGGTTTAGCCTTTGAGAGCTCTTGTATGAATTTTGAAAATGATTACGCAAATTAAAATATAAAATATGTTACCAATTTAATAATATCATTTATATAAAAATATCTAAAATTTGTTGCATTGTTTAATTTTTGTTAATGTACACTATTGATAAATACTTTAACAAATTTTACTATGCTCAATAATTTTTTTTTTACAAACGAAATATAAACGGAATATATTAATTTCAAAGCTTTTAGCTCTTTTGTTTCCCTTTTACTGCATATGTTAAAATTACAATTTTAAAAGGGCTAAAAATTCTCATTTATTTATAATGTTATAGAATATTTTATATTTGACGCGTGTTTCCAACTTCCGTCTGTTTTTTGAACCGCATTTACAATATGTTCGAATGCAATATGGAATGATCAATATTTATAATATTCAGCTGGATTTATATTGCTAGTACTTGAACTATGTAAAATAATTTTACATTTTTTCCAATAGTTTATTGAAAAATTGTACAAACATTAAAAATAATATTATCAACAGTAATTAAATTCACCTCTGCTTTAAGCTGATTTCATTAAAAATTTAATAAAATATATTTTACTAATTTTCAACACCGCAATGTTTTTCCATTGCTTATTTTTTTTTATTTATAAATAAATAGTCAAAATTTTATAACCCTCGTTAATTTGTAGTTAAAAATGAATTTGTATCCTTAAAGCATAGGATTTCTAGAGATATCTTATTGCACATTCAACAGATAGTTGCAATATATCTATGCAAGATATATACATGAATTTATAAAATTTGTTACGTTGTAACAATTGGTGTAAAATATTTTAATAAGATTTTAAATAAAAATTAATAATAACTTAATTCAATGAAATAATAAATAAATACATTCAGTATACAACAGAAATGTGTTCAAGCTATGGTCAAATTCATATCGTCATTAGAAAGTATGAATCATAAAATAAAACCGTGGATCGAAATAATATAATAGTATAATAATATAATATAATAATTCATATCAAACAAAATTGACAGCTAAAATTGTATAAATTGTAAGAAAATACTGTAAAAATATGTTGCTGGAAATTGTAATATTTTGAAAATATAAAATATTTACTCAAATATTTCATCTAGAAATATTTCATAAACAAAGAATATTTTTATGAAAAATTATAATTTAATTAGAAATTTTTCTGTCTTGAAATCAAGAATTTATTAAGAATGCTATTGTAATTTCCATTTCAATCATATGATTTATAGAAGAAATATGGAAATATTTGTTGATATAAAAGACGATCATCAGGACCCTTAGATTTCTCTCGTTAATCTTTTCATATGCAAAATCAAAAATTTTCACTCGAAACAATACAAAATTTGAGTATTATTTTGTTAATATAATCGTAAGAATATATATATATATATATATATATATACAACACTTCCAAGAAATGTTGATAACGATGTAAATCACAAATTAATTTAAAAATATTAATTCAAAATAATTTAAATAAATTGAAATTAAAAGTAATAATAAATTTTTTTTTCAAAAATTGTAATTCTTTTTAGAAGATAAAGATACGTGCTACTTCATAATATTATAGTTACAAGCACGTTAGTAACTGTGAATATCTGCAGGCTTCGCATAATCGTGGCTAGCACCATATAGCACTCGAAGTGCACAAATTCCAAACTACATAAGTAAATAGCTCTAAAACAAAAGCAAGCTTTTAATGTAAATGTTTAGGCATATAAATAAATTTTCAAATTAAGTTTGTTTTGATCTTGAAAATTGTCAGAATCATAAACATAACTAAATTATAATTTTTTTTGCTTCCTAGTTTCGATAAGAATTACCCAACTTGGAAAATATGTTAGGCCCAAGATGGGAAATGTATTTAATAACAATTAATTGGCCAAAAAGTAAATTACAATTTTTGCAACTGTTTAATAGGTACAAATTATTAATTCATGAATCCTGATGACACTTATTCTTAATTTCTATTTTAAAAACTGTGTCTAAAATTTTTTTTTATTAAACTTAGTAGTATATATAAAGTTATAAACAGACACAAATCACCGCATATTAAACGGGTAAACCGCAAAATCGTGTCAATAATAATAATTAATAAGGCCTACTTTAATTAAAATTGTTTATTTGTAGAAAATTTTAATTTACAGTTAAATGGTGGAAACATACGTTCTCTTTATATAAATGCATTAATTATTATCAAATAGACAAAAACATTATTATTATAAATTATGATTCTTATAAAGATTAATATCATTCTAATTATATAGATTAATTATCGAAAATTGTACCGCTGTGTTATGAATGCGTTTCCTTATACCGGAACGACAATGTAATCATTCACAATCGCAGTTTGGAAATTATCCAATATCCCGCAAACAGAGAAAATAATAATAATAATGAACAAATATATTAATACAAGTAGGTAGTTTGATTAAGGGGATTCAGTGCCAATACTAATTGGTGCAATAAAGCGTTATAGTGTAAAACGAGGACAATATTATCAATTTTAAACATAGTTAAATACAAATAACAGAATTTTACAATTTCCAAAAATAAAATAACGTTAAAGGAAAAATTCTATTTAACAGCATGTGATTGTTAGGTTTGAAATTTTAATTCGACAACTTTTTTCGTAAAAAACTGAATGGATTGATTTGGGTTTATTGTTCATGTTTATTGCACTCTCATTCTTACTTACACTTTCACTAAAATTATTTTTTACACTTTCACTCTCACTTATATAGACTCAATTTCACTAATTTTTTTTTCTACACGCGTACTTATACTAGATAATAAAATTAATAACATAATTACATTTTTTTTAAAAATTATATTTGCTATATTGGATCCGCCATTTTGAATTTTCAAAAACCAACTTCAAATTCGTAATCAGCGACCCCAAAAACCCTTGAGTAAAAAGTTTCAGGCAAATCTGATCAAATTTTTAGAAAATCGTCCGACATTTTGAATCCGCCATTTTTAATTTTTGAAAATTAACTTCAGATTCATCATATTCGTAATCAGCGACCCCCAGAAGACCTTAATATACCTTGTCTGAATAATTCAACTAATTTTTGAAGCTTTAACAACAACAATTATATTTTTTTTTGTTTGCCTTTTTTTATTTCAGGTGCCATATTTATCGTCCATATTTATATTTTCAAAAACGGCAAATGAAACTAGACATCTTAAGCTACAATTTCATGTATCGTATGATTTTTTAATATCAAACTAATTTTGGGCAATAGGGTCGTTGCTGCATATTATTCTGCAAAAAATATACTATTTGGAATTTCTTTGCAACTTTACAAATCTATAAGATGAAACAATTTTTGACTTATTTTTTGATCGTGTTCTTGGCATATATGAAAGCTTGACAAATCAGAAAAATATTTTCTTATTTACTTCACTTTTCATTCCATACACATGTCTTTTACGTGAATCACATAAAGCTTCATGTAATTTTTCATCGTCAAAATAATTTTAAAAATAAATTTTCCAATGTCAATTTTACACAGCTTTTTAATTTTAAATATTTTTTTTTTCCGCTCTACGAAAGTATAGCAAAAGCAAACGATTTTCATCTTGTCTTTTTGCATGACCTTTTACATTTTTAAAAGAGAAAATATTTTACATAAAAAATGTATGTGTATAAAAATTGTATACGACAAAGGAAAAGTAGATAAAAATATAGAGATAATATAATGTAAAATAATATTTGGAATAGTTTTACGCCAAATACATTTAAAAAAGAAAAATAAGAAAAAATACAAAGTATTTTACATTTACTTATTAAAAAAATAAAAAAAAACTTTTTTAATTTTTTTCTTCCAATTAAAATGACATAACGTTTCACAAATTGAAGAATTTTCTTATATTTTACTCGTTTGTTGGCCCAAATCGGTCCAAGAAAAAGTTTCCAAAAAATATCATATTATCATATTAAAAGTTTTTGAAATCACGGGAACTAATTTTGAGGTCAGATTTAAAAAACTCAAATTAGCGGACCCAATATGGCGGAAAATTTAAAAATTGATTCGATTCGTTCAAAATTCGTTACACTCGGGTGTTTTTGGAGTCGATAAATTCAAATTTGAGGTCAGATTTAACGAATTCAAAATTTGGATTCATAGTATACTCAAAAACGTCCGAGTATCGAAATTTGAACGAATCGAATCAATTAAAAAATTTTTCACCATATTGGGTCCGCCATTTTGAATTTTTTAAATTTGATCTCAAATTCGGATTCAGCGACACCAAAAACTACAAAGGAACTATTTTCATGCAAATCTGGTCAATTTAAAAATTTTTTTGGACGCCATATTGGG